GGTGGGGGATGAGAAACTATCTTATGCCAGATGGCAATTCCTTGCTAGCAACATAGGCCAGGGCTGAGACAGCCCTCTGCCTTGTGTTCCTTTTACAAAACCCACAAAGAACACATTTGGGCCACTTCCCAGAGTTGGCAACAGCCTCTGCTTTTTAAGGAAATCATGTGGACACACAAAACTGCACTTGATGACGGGCGAGAAGTCCCTAAGTCCAGAGATGGGTACACAGGTCTTACATTCTAGGTCTTCAGTTATCATTTGGCCTGGGCCCAAGAGGCATCCCCATTGTTGCCAGATTTGATTACTTGATAAATTTGGTTAAAACAAAAACAAGTTAGGGAAAGCTTATATTTTCTTGTTGACAAAATCTGTTCTTTAAAAAAAAGGGGGGGGGGGTTTCTACTGTAGTTAGTTTGCTAGATTTAACAGGGAAGCTAGAAACTATAAAATCCTCCTTTGAAATGGTGGGATGATGAAGTATTTTCCAAATTTCATATCACGGTAGACACAAAGGGTGTAATTTTTAATTTTTAGTCTAGTACCTTTCTGTAGCATGTACATATAAGGTGTGATAACTGTTTTCATGTATTTGGAAGTATTAGAGAGAAGCTGGCATAAGTAAAGATAAATTTATGTGTGTGTATGTGTTTTCTCAATAGGCTTCTCTAAGATGGAATTGTTTCTTCAGAACATCATGAAATCCTCTCATTGAAGATGGTTGAAGCAGAGTATGATCAGCTACTTGCTAGGGATGTTGTGATGATGATTTAAACACGATACTAGTTATCAGATTAACCTTCTAAGATTTCAATAACCTTTTCACCATTAATCATAATGAAACTCCCTTCCCTTGTTTCCTTAAATTACCTTGATTTGGGTGATTTTTCAGCCATTTCAGATAATACCTATTAGCTGTTTAGCTTTGTCTTATATGCAGTAAACACTGACCACCTTTGGTATTGTTCTGTTTATTTCTTTAGGTTTCTGAACACACACAATTAAGTTGGATCCTCACCTGCATGGTTAGACTACCCCGATTGCAGCATTTACACCAGTGGAAGGTAAGGGCCAATGGTCTGATTAATACACAGAGAGGGGTGCAAGTGCCCTGTAACAGCTCTTTCCCCGTTTTTGTTGTCTTTGTGCTAGGCCCTGGGAATCCTGAGTTTATTGTCCTCCCTGGTCTGCTACTCACTAGTAGCCTGGAACTGTGCCATGTCTTTAACCTCTCTGCTTCTGACGATGAGATGGAAAGCAAAGGGGTTCTCCAAGATGTATCCCAATCTAAAAGTCCTGCTACTTGTTATGATCTGTATGTGGTTGCACCGGCTAATGACTTGGACCGGACCGCTTGATAACTATTAAGCAGTTTCCAGTTTCTGCATTACTGGGCCCTATGTTTCCTCCCATCTCCACTGGAATTTACTGATCATGAGGCAAGAACCTTTTTATTGTGTGGAGAGGTGATATATTTTATATACTAGGTAAACAAGTTGAAACCAGGCACCAACCAGTGCAAACCCACAGAAAACTTAAGGCTGGATTTTTTTCTACAACGGCAAAGGATCCATGGGGTAATTCATTGTACATTACTTCCATTTATTCTTGCAACTGAATAACCCATGGGTACATAGCTCCTAACGACATCAACATGAATTCCTGTTTCGTACTCCTTTCAAGCATGCCCTTAGGGCCACTGGTGTCAAGAAAAGCCTCCTTGTGCAGCAGCGAGAAAGGACTGAGCTGGAGAGTGGCCACTCCAAGTGGCGAGCCATCACTCATGACGCGGAGCCATAGCTTCCCAGGAGCTAAGAGCAGCATTTTTATAGTATTTTGTAATAACTTAACATTTTTTATAATAACTCTTTTCTCTATTTTGATTTGAGATAAGACTTTCCATTTCACTATAATACTCTCACACGAAGTTCAGTCCTGAAATCCTTTCTTTAAGGAACTGAAGACTAATATAATGGGAACTGTTCCCACTTGAAAGTGGTGTCTAAGGGCCTCCTGAGAACATATTCCTAATGAATGCACTGATGTTCAGGAGAGGCCGTCCCACAAGCCCAGGATGTGGTGCGTGTGGGGAAAGCATGGATTTCAAGTCCCAGCCTCATCTTTGGGCAAGTTATGTTTTATAAAGTGATGTCTTCATTACATCGTGGGAGATGCTGGAGGCCTAAAGGTCCGTGAGACAAAGGTATCTTCCATGAGGCTTTATAGTCTATTGGGGAAAGACCCTTAACCAAAGAGCAATGGCATGTGAGAAGTACTCTGGGAAAATTCCAGGGTTATGGGACAGTCTGGTAGGAGCCACCTAGCTTGGTTTTGATTGGAGCACGAACAGTGGAGTAGGGGTTAAGGTTAAGGTTGTTTGAGATCAGGATTTGGAGGATTCGTGTGATACCACCATATGCAAAAGATCTGGCACACATAATAACCACTCACCAAATTATCAGTGATCTCCCCATTGTCTCCCTTCCTTTATAATGTCAAGGCCCAGCAGGCTAATATTTTTAAAAGACTATATGCCCAACATGTTAACAATGTTTTTAAGTTAGCTTGTTTCCTCATTTGATTACTTCCGAATTAAACCTTCATAATTGTGTTAGACAGGGATCTCTAGAGAGATAAAACCAAGTTGCTGATAATTTAATATATTTATTTATAAAGATAATTAGATATGTAACAAGAAATAAACTGTTAAATCATATACAGATAAATATATAATACAAGAAAGAAACAGTTAAATTATAAAGCACTACAAATGGCTCAATTCAACTCACTGCCGTGAGAGAGTTGTGAGAGACTAGCAGTCCTTCCAGTCCAATCTGCTGCCAGATCTTCCTCTATTTATAGAGAGATCTAGGCTATGTCAGCACAGCAGCCAATCACAAGGCAGGTCACCAACTGCCAGCCAGGTCACCAACTGCCAGTCCCCAGCTCCAGCAATGTCTTAAAGGGACCTCAACTTACAGCGACACAGTCCACAGGCTAGGCGTCCCACAGGTAGATTGAGGCACAGGACAAGCAAGGCAGCCGCACACTGGTCCGATGATCAAAGAGCGAGAGACAAGAAAGGTGAGACTCACCAAGGCATTTATCTCTCTGCCCTTCAGTTAATCCCACTTGTGTTTATCGGCCAGGCTGGCACAATAAACTATCTCAATAATCATTACCCTCTAGTGCTGGCAGGACAGCCCTTCTCACAGGCAGTGTAATAAGGGTATTAATGAAGGAATTACAGGGTGAAACTGAAGTTTGCTTCGAATGGCCTTTCACATTAGTTGTACTAAGCTAGAAACTGTATAAACTCCATGGTATACCATCAAAAAAGTTGAATTTGAAATGAGGAGCTGATATGAAGGGCTCAGGTAGAAAGCAAATGTTTTGAAAATGATGATGGCAACAGATGTGTAAAGGTGCTTGACACAATGGATAGATGTATGGATTGTGATAAGAGTTGTACGAGCCCCCAATAAAATGATTTCAAAAAAGGAAAAGTTGAATTTGTAACATAATTATGAAGCATTGAACTTAAGATGACTAGAGAGGGAAGCTGTTGCCGTTGCAGACCAATCTTCAAAGTGTATGTCCAGATGCTTGTAGGGGAAACCCAAGTTCATAAGTTTTTCCTCGGAATTATACATATTTATAAATCTCATTCTTTAGCCCGTTTAGAAACAGCAGACTTAAGAAAAGTAATTCATGCAAATTAAATGAATCCGATTTATGCATTAAAAAAACCAGCCATTGAATCAATTCCGCCTCATCCAGAACCTTATAGGGCAGAGTGGAGCTGCCCTTGTGGGCTTCTGAGACTGTGAATCATTGTGGGGGTAGAAAACCTCTTCATTCTCCCACGGAGCATCTGGGGGTTTTCAATGGCTGACTTTGAGGTTAGCAGCCCCTGAGTAACCTACGACTCCTTCTCAGGCCTATTTACTCACCAAAGTATTTACGGTGTTACAAAGGATGACATGCTCAGGCCTTGGAAACAATTACCAGTGAAGTCACAAAATACTCCCTTCAATAGGGAGCTCTACTCAGAAAATGAAATCACGTATCAGCCAAGGACTTCATGTCACTAGGACTCATGCTCAGCACACACTAGCAGCTGACCTTGTACCCTCGGGTCATCCGTTACCTCTGGTGTTCCGTCCTCTTCGCCACTTAGGACACATTGTTGCCTAGACGGCCTGCACTGTTCATTAGAATTACTTCACCTTCACCACGTCAGTATTCATAATCACGCCAGCATCGAGATAAGAGAATTTTGTTTGCTTAGATTCAAATTTCTCCGACTGCAGTTTCAGTTTTCAAAAGCTCTGGTTTTGTTGTTGCTGTTTTTAAAGGGGATTTCGAGGAAACAGTTCCTTTACATCAGCAGCACAGGTGTGAGACTTTCTGGGAGGCTTCCACAGACACAGAGCATGGCTTTTGGTGTTAATTCACAGTAATTTCTGATGGATGATATTTTATGATCCTTCCAGTGGGGCCTGCAGTATATCTGATTTAGAACTTGCAACCCTTATGATTCCTTATTCGTAAAAAAGAAAGAGAGCGAGTGAGAAATTGTGGGGAGCACAGGGTGCACCCTTAAGGGCAGTAGTAAAATGGATTTACCTCATTGCAGCTTAAGCCTAGCAAATGAATACAAGCCCACCAGAGGAGGGAGGGTTCCTCGTCCACCGACAGTTGCCAACTCATGACAACCCATGTATGTCAGAATAGAACTGTGTCCTATCAACTTTCCTTAGCCACTTTTTTGTTGTTCAATTGATCACCAAGGTCCCTCTGACTAGGCTTGAACCAGCAGCTGTTCAGTAAGCAGCTGAGTGCTTGAACCATTTGCACTGGCTCCTAGAGGATAGTTAAAGTTGCTAAAATCAATTGAGACATACAAGTGGCTTCAGATCAGATTTTCCACTTCAAAACTATCTTGCTTTAGAGATAAACTTAGATTCGTGTCTGATTGCTTCCCGCTTTTTTCTTCACCGCCCCAGGCAAAGACCACCACGCAGAAACATGATGGAACTGTGGGCCTGCTGACCTACCCTGTACTGCAGGCGGCGGACATTCTGCTCTACAAGTAAGATCAGAGCGCACCCACGGGCCTCTTGAGGACCAGAGACTGTTGTAGCCTATCTGAAAGAGATTGGCTGACAGGGATGCGGGACACAAGACGCATCAGACTGTTTACAGCTATTCCCCAGCCTTGTTGTCGTTAGGTGCCGTTGATGTACAACAGAAGAAAACAAAACACTGCCCCACCCTGCGCTGCCCACACAGGGGTGCTATGTCGTCTCCCTGAGGACCTTCCTCTTTTTCACTGCCCCTCCACTTTAGCAAGCATGGTGTTCTTCTCCAGGAACTGGCTCCTCCTGACAACGTGTCCAAAAGATGTGAGGTGAAATCTCACCACCCTAAATTTTAAGTGTTTCGTTGTGAAAGTGGTGAGAACTAACACTGAAATAGAACTTACTGTGTTTGGGATCGCATTGTAAGTGCTTTACATAGGTTAGTCCTCCCAACAACCTTATACAATCCGTAGTATTATTAGCCCCATCTTACAGATGAGGAAACGGAGACACAAAGTAGTTATTCACTTACCCAAGATCCCATTGCCAGCAAGGTTTGGAGCCAGGATTTACGTCCAGAAAGTTTGGAGCAGAATCTGTTATCTTAACCACTGTGCGTGCGTGTGTGTGTGTGTGTGTGTGTGTGTGTGTGTCCCGCAAAAAAACACTTCACCATCATTGAGCTGGTGCCAATTCCTAGAGATCCTATATGACAGGGTAGAACTGTCCCTGTGAGTTTCCGCATCTGTAACTGTTTACAGGAGGAGAAAGCTCCGTCTTTCTCCCACAGAGCAGCCTGGTGGTGTCAAGCTTCCTGTGGTGTCAAGCTTCCAACCTTGTGGATCACAGCTCAGTGCGTAACCACTATAATAACTGAAAGGACCCCTGATGGCACAGTGGTAAAACACTCAGCTTTGAAACCCAGGGCAGATGATTTGAACCCGTCAGCTGCCCCGCAGGAGGAAAATGTGGCAGTCTGCTTTCATGATGATTCACAGCCTTGGAAACCCTGCAGAGCAGTTCTACTCTGTCCTATAGGAATTGGGATCAACTCAAAGTGATCCTATAGGGCAAAGCAGATAGGTTTAGTCATAATTAAGCTCCACACATTTTACTGTTATTTGTTGTATTTAAACTGCAAATATTTAAAATCTTAATTAAAAAAAATAGTCTGGACTCTAAAGCATTGGTGTCCACTACAGCTTGTTGCAGTTCTGGGAATGTTCCATAAGGTTCTAGTGTGGTAGCCATGATCCACAAGTGACTGCTGAGCACTTGGGGTGTGAGTAGTGCGATGGAAGAATTGAATATTTAATTGTATTACATTGTAGTTAACTTAAGTAGCCAAATGTGGCTGATGATTGGAGTTGGGCATCAAGGGTGTGTCTCTCAGTCTGCTTGGATATCCTCACTTTCCTAGACCCATAATCCATCTAGTCAGCTACTCTTGCCATTGAAAGGTTTCAAAACTAGACAACCAAAGGGTGCTGACCCTTGTGTTCTCTCCTGGCCAGGACTTCTGACCCTGACCACCGATCTCTTTCTTACTCCCTCGCCTCTCATTGGCCCTCTTGGGTCCTAGTTACCCTTCTGGGGCTAAATCCTCCTGATCAGAAGATGTTCAGAACCTCAGCCTTGATCCTGTAAAAGCTTCAGTGGTAAACGAGAAACTCCATGAAAGTTTTTTTCACTCCCTTCCCCTAGAGCCTTGGTTCCAGAAGAGTGACTTTTCCCAAGAGGATCTAGAATTCTTGACGTTGTAGAAGGCTAGTAACACGGAGATGACAGTATTTGCCCTTGTGGCGTGGCCTCAAAGCCCTGCGCAATTATAATGGAAGTAGCCAGAGCCGCAGGTTAACTTTCCAAATATGGTATGCCCGAGTGCCTGCTGGCTCTCTTTAAAACTGATGGAAACATATATAAGAAGTCTGTTTCTGTTTGTTATCTTAACGTGAGTGCAGAATTGTTAGTGATTTGTGTGCTATTGAGTTAATTCTGACTCATCATAGCTATAGGACAGGGTGGAACTGCCTAGTAGGGTTTCCTAGCCTGTAATCTTCATGAGAGCAGGTCCTTCCTCCTACAAAGAGGCCGGTGAGACCTTCTGGTTAGCTACTGAGTACCCCTATTGCACCCCCAGGACTCCTGGACTCTTGATAGCATTTACTATTTATAGGTGACTTTTGACTTTTCCCGAGCCATCAAGAATGCTTCTCTTTAAGAGCTAGCAAGTGAAAGTCTAACTGAAATCTATTAATGCATGTCCTTACGGGTAATATATTTACCTAGGACACAAACCCATGAGGAGCCTCGGTTTTCGTCACATAGAAAAAAGGGCTGTTAATTCAGTGAAGTGTGAGCAGTGGCTGTGGCTGAGAGGTAGCTTTCCCTTGGTGATGAGGGATGATCATTTTCTCTTTGGTGATTATTTCATGTTTAATTCTTGTTTTCAAGGCCTACTTCTTTATGGATCAAGGGCTGAGACTTTTCAGCACTAGAATGTAAACGCACGTGGGCTCCCGGAGCTGTGCAAGAAGTACATTCAAAGAGTCCTCTGAGCTCGGGGCTGTAAAATGTAACGCACGATTGCTTTTTTGAACAGTTACCACGAGCCAGAGGGTAGAAGGGAACACTTTGAAAGGCCTCTGCTGCAGGTCTCTAGCTTTCTGCAGGAAGCCCTCTGAGGTCTCGCAGCTTGCTCAAGTTCTTAGCCGTCAATAGTCAGTGGGACATCAAGGCATAATCGTGGGTTTCCCAAGCCCCGCTTAAGGACCCAGTAGTTACGTATGATAGGAAGCAAGATTATCACTTGAAACAATCAGAACATTCTGCCAATTGTACCTACTACTTACGTTGTATATTTTGGGCAACTAATAACAGTACATCCATCTTTATTTTGCTGTCTATGACTTACAGTGTTCTGTTTGCTTCATCTAGGAAGTGAGTCAATGGAACATAATTCGGAGGATTATGTAAATGAATTCTGTAGGTAGTCCTATTACCTAATGTACTCAATCCAAAACTACTGCTTGTACGAGAAGAATCTATTTTTTAAAGCTGGCATTAATGAAAATAGCTACTTAAGATCCCCAAGACACTTCTATTGCTCTTCCTTGGTTAGAGCCGTATTCCATCTAGCCAGCTAGGACTGCCATGGAAAGATCTCAGAAGTAAGCCATCAGGGATGTTGGCCCCTGGGCCTTCCTATGAAACACTCATGACCATTGTTGTGCTCACTGTAAGAACATTCCAGTAGGTTCTTGTCTGTCTCGCTCTCCTTCCTGACGTCAACAGGATTCTCACATAAAGGTCTTCAGTCCACAGACAGGTATCCTTTTTCAGACTGTCTGGTCTCACATACCATGCCCAGTACCAAAGAGATTCCCCCGTCCGTCTCACATACCATGCCCAGTACCAAAGAGATTCCCCCGTCCGTCTCACATACCATGCCCAGTACCAAAGAGATTCCCCCATCCGTCTCACATACCATGCCAAAGAGATTCCCCCGTCCGATCGGGTGACATGAGTCAGCAAAGACTCGATGGCAAAGTTAGCGGGAAAGCTCCAATATCTCCCCCCTCCCCCCCATTATCTTTCATTCCATTTCCCACTAGTTTGTTTGTTTTAAGCACCCTTGTGTGAACTAAGCAGATATACGATGCCTTTCTTTTCCCTGCTTCCTAGAAAGTCCATAAGGGGGTCGAATTCTTCTCTCTCTTCATCAGGATTCTGATATTTTAGGTACTGTCTGTTGGAAACCAATAGAGAAAGGTGTTTTGGAAAACAAAACTAGGTAATTATTTCTAAGGCAACCGTCCAGAAACTATCCAGTAGCAATGCTGCATTAGATCACAAACAAGGAGCCCACATCTGCATGCTGAGAGCACAGCTGTGTGTCCTTCCTGCCGGATCTTGGGCTGGACCTGTCACAGCTGTCCACTCACCTTCCAGCTGAGGCTCCGTCCCTTTTGGCCTCTGTGCGCCCACCATCTTGCTGCAGTCTGTTCCCATGGGTGCTGCAGCCACGCCGACACATGTCCCACATTTCTTGGATGTGTTTGTCACTTGGCTCCCTGACTCACGGTGACCTCTTGTGTTCCAGGGTAGAACTGCTCTCCAGGTTTCCTTGGCTATAATTTTTACGAAAGTAGGCAGATGGCCAGACCTAATGGTCCCATGAAACCTTTTAGTTATCAGCAGATTGCAAATCATGTGCTACACCCAGGACTTGGATAAAGAAGAGTAGACAGGTTTCAGAGATAGTTACGAGATAAAGTTGTTAGGACTTGATAATAAATTTAATGAGAGGAAGGTGTCCAGAATGACCCCGTTACTGACTTAGAAAACAGCTTTAATGGCATTGCCATTCGCTGAGCTAGGTCTACCAAAAGAACCAGGGCGACTTCTAGCTTTATGTGGTACTGTCTCTCCTGCTGGAAGCCTTAATGTTCTAGAAATTAGACCATTCTTTACTTTGTTAGCTGTCACGGTACCTAATCCCAGGTCTTTCGCATAGTAGGCCTTCACAGAAGGTAGTGCCACTTCCACTACTTGGTAGTGCCAGGAAAGAACTGAGTCACCATGTTAAACTCTGAGGATTAAACTATTGCCTTTGAGAGCCATCAATAATAGTCCAATCTCTAAAACATTATTTTGGAGCCTTGCAGTCACTACACCATCTCCAACAGGCACCAGAAATGGTGAATCAATCCTTTAAGAAAGGAAAACAAAACAACACAAAAAACCCAGCACAGCTCCTTGTTTGCAAGGCTGGTAAAGGCAACAGCATTGAGAACTCCCAAACACAGCCAAAAAAAGTAGAGAAAATAAAGGGAACGAATGTGTTTGCAGATCTTTGTCGTCAGTGCCTATTCATCTGGACACTAATTCTGGCAGAGGGATGGGTGGATCCCAAGTAAACGTAAGATGCAACAAGGAGCTAAGCAAAAGAAAAATGGTTTAGTCACCAAAGATCAGACGCATTATGATGTGACAGAAGTTATAACAATCA